CCCCCCCGGGGGCCCCGGGGGCCCCGGGGGCCCCCGCAGCAGCAGCGGCAGCAGCGGGCGGCTGCAGCAGGGCCTCGAGGACGGCGACTCTGTTGGCGAGCTCGGGGAGGGACTGGGGGGGGCCCCCCTGGCCGAGGCGCAGCAGCGCCAACTCCTCCGAAAGAGGCAGCCTGCAGCCCGCAGACACAAACTGCTGCCTGCGAACATAAGCCAGAAGGTCCCGGGCCAGCGGCCAAGAGGCCTCCACGCGGGCCCCGCTGCGGCTGCATGCAGGGGCCTCTCCGAGGAGGCTTTTGTGGGGCCGGCCGACTCCCCAGGGCCTCGCGAGGAGGCCCCCGAAGCGCTTCTTCCAGTGCGCTCCGCGGGCGCGGCCACCCCCGGGCTCCCCCTGCTGCTGCTGCTGCTGCTGCTGCTGGTGCTGCTCGCCCGCGGCGGCCTCGCTGGGCTGCGGCGTCAGCCCCTGCCGGCTCGCAGCCAGCCACAGCCGCAGCCGAGCAGCAACAGCGTCGGGGTGCGGGTCTTCGCTTCTGCTCATGACTGCGTTGATGAGTTTCCAGATCTCGGCCTCCTCCCCCAGGCCTGCTGCTGCTGCTGCTGCCTCCCTGCTGCTGCTGCTGCTGCTGGCGCCGCCGTCCTCCTCCGACAGCGACAGCGAGTCCGCCAGCGCGCAGACCGCCTCGAACTGCCTGCTGAGGTACCGCAGCAGCAGCACGTAAAGCCCAGCAGCAACTGTCGGGATGAACAAAAAAGACCGAGATGCATGCAAGCTGCACAAGAAGTGCCGCGCGCCTCGAAACGAAGACAACCAGCTGCTCTCCGAAGGGTCAAACACCACTTCTGGAGTTGCACAGTCCAGCACCTGCGCACAGGGGCCCCGGGGCCCCACACCCAGCACGCCACCGCCCTTCAGCACACACCAGCTAGCTAGCTAGCTGGCAGCTAGCTCGTAGCTAGCTGGCAGCTACGGGGCAGCTAGACGGCAGCAGGAGGACAGCCAGAAGCCAGCTAGTGGGCAGCAGGAGTGCAGATAGCTGGCAGCTAGTAGGCAGCTAGAGAGCAGCTAGGGGGCAGCTAGCTGGCAGCTAGCTGGCAGCTAGCTGGCAGCTAGCTGGCCATTTTCAATGCGCCTCTGCATGAGGGCAACTGCCTTCCTAGCACGGAGCTACGGCGGTTTAGGCCGGCGAAAAGAAACAGCAAAAGGGACAGAATTAACTAGACCAGCAGCAGCAGAAGCTGCTGATGCCTTTGCTGCTGCAGCTCACCAGGTCTGCCTGCAGCAGCAGCCGCTCGTCGACTTCGCGTTGTCGCTGCGCCGCTGCCCACGGGTTGAACGAGTGGACAGCAGCAGCAGCAGCGGCAGCAGCAGCAGCAGCAGCAGAGGCAGCTGCGCCGCCAGAAGGCTCCTGCGGGGCCAGCAGCAAATCCCTAGCCAGAGGGTTGCGCAGCACTCTCAAGGGCTTGTTAGAAGCAGCAAGCAGCAAAAACAGTTCCCCCTCATCATTCGACAGCAGCAGCGAAGGCTGCAGCCCCTGCAGCACTCGGGAGGCCAGCGGCGACCGCAGGATGTCGCCCGAAGCCAGAAACAGCCCTGCGTGCTGCTCACACACAAACTTCACCTGCGGCGCCTGC